AAAATGTATATATTTTATACATATAAAATAATAAATGCCAATATAAATATATAGATATAGATCTTTGGCTTTCTCATGCTCCCTCTCACTCTACTATATTCATTCACTCTCTCTTTCTGTAGGAATTTATCGTATTTTAATGCTCGCCTTTCGCAAGAACACCTTTACAAAAATTGGCAAATAACGCTCGGCTGCCGAATCGAGCTATAAACTTATATATAGACGCGTAAACAAAAACAACGGAAAACATGTTTATTCTATTATGATAGCTTGTCTAAATATATGTGAGTTCATAATCAAATGGCAAAACATACGCAGCCGCGGCCAGATTAAGAGATCTTGATAAACAAAACTGAGCCAATAAACAAATACAAATATTGCAAAAAAAAAAAAAAAAGAAACATGCAAACACACACACACACACGCACACACATTGCTAGGTGGGGGAAAAGCTTTGGTAAACGTTCTTATCGACTGATCGATAATGAGTGGGCGGCCGGCGGCAGTGAAGGAAGTGCATTATGTGTGTGGCTAGACTGTGGCCGGGAGCTTTTCTGGCGCAAGGGGTCGGCCGACGTGACCAGCCGCACATAGAGCGCGAAAGCTCTGCGACATTGGCGACGTCACTGCCAAGGCCTGGAATGCTTCCCGCTGGGTCGGGCCGGCGCTATATAAAGCGTCATGCAGGGCGAGCGTCCCGCGCATATTGCAAATACTAATATCTTCAGTCGGGTCGGCTAGCTCGAGTTGTTGCTAAAAAAAAAATACACACACACAAACACAGTATGTGGTCCAAGATTGCCATTGTCGGCGCCCTGACCATGATGGGCGGTGTGCTCTACTCGAGCGTTGTGGACAACTTTGCGTATGTGGATCGATCCCTGGACGTGGCCATGCCCAGGGCGAGGCGTCATGTGGAGCAGCCATCGGAGTAATCGGCGCATGAGGGGAGTGGGATGGGGATGATGGAAGTCAAGTGAAGTGGAGTGAAGTGAAGTGAAGTGCTTGGCCAGTGGATTCGCTTGCAACTAGTTCACTCCGTGTTGTTGCTGCAACCAAATGAACTAGTTCATTAAGTCCTCCAACAGCAGCAGCGCTGCCATCTACTCTCGGCTTGTGTTTGTACAGTCCACATGCATGAACCACAAGCGCGAACCAGCTGCAAATGAACAAGTTCTTCACAGTGCCAAGACGAACAATAGTCACAACATCAAGAAAAGCAGTTCGAGCTTTAAATTGTATAAACTTTAAGTTAACCACTTTTTTTCAATGTTTTTTTTTTTTCTTTCGTTTAGTATTTATCTTTGGCTAAGTTCTTACGCTATAAACAATATTATATTATGTGCATGTTGTAGATAGTTATTAAAAACACCAAAAAAAAAACTTCATATTTGTTTTATGAATTAAAGAGGAATGCGTCGCCGAGGTGGTGCTAAATAGATAAATAGCTAAAATTAACATGAAAACA